TGCTTAAATCTTTCAAACTACGCAACGGATTTTGAAGCGGTTTTGTTTTTATAGATAGAGTGATTCAAGAGGAAGGTTTATATATATAATACATGTACACCCGAGTGGCTAGTAAAGGAATAAAATATAAAATAAAACGATATAAGTTTATCACTTGTGTGAATGCGTCTGGAAATTCTATAGCGTATGAAAAATTGCTGTCTAAGATTATATCCGTCCGTTCACTTCGAGGGGAGAACTTCTGAAATGTTCAATATAATAATTTTCAGCAACAACTCGAGCGAAACGGCGTGTGTAGTGAATTCAGTAATATTTTAATATATCCTGTTATGCAATGTAAATAAAATTAAACGGTAGATGCATTAATAAATCGTGCAACAATAACATTATATCAACTAACGGAAATTTTATAATATTTTTTATAATAAGTCACTCCAGTCTCTACAATACAGGCCTGCTAGCCTAGTGTAGAACTACAGTAAATTAAAATGTAAATGTGTATCATGAATAAATATTATTATTATTATTAAATTTATCATCATTGCATAGTATAAAACAAAGTCGCTGTCGCTGTCTGTCCCTATATATGCTTAAATTTTTAAAACTACGCAACGGATTTTGAAGCGGTTTTCCTTTAATAGAGTGATTCAAGAGGAAGGTTTATATATATAAAACTTGTACACCCGTGCGAAGCCAGGGCGAGTAGTTAGTTTACTTATAAAATTACATGGCAACGGATTTTGAAGTGGTTTTCTTTTAATATAGTTGTAGGTGATAGAACGAGTGGACTGTATGTGTGATATAAATCAAACAATGGATAGAAAATGGAAAATACTTATAATGAAGATAGGTACGTGTACAAACGGTTGTAGGCAAAAAGTGACAATAATAAAAATATGACAATTCTAAAAGAAAATACATTTAAAATTGGTAGAAAAATAAATATATAAAAATGTGCAGAGTTTGCAACAATAGTGATTCAAGAGGAAGGTTTATGTATATAATATATGTACACCCGTGCGAAGCCGGGGCGAATAGCTAGTTTATTTATAGAATTACATGCTCTTAGTGAGTATTACAGGGTATTACCAATGAATTACCTACTAATAAGCTGAAGCAACAAGATGAGTGTTAACTGCATTCCGTAGTCGTATAAAATATATAGTAGTAATTTCTTGTATATATATTTATATATTTATTTATTATTATTATTATTATTTATATATTGTTGTGTTTTTGTATATATATATTCATAGGTATGTAAGCTTAATACTATCGATATATATACCTAAGTTAGGTAAATACAAATAGTATGCCTTTTCCCAATACTGCCCTTCAACCGCTTTCTGTTTCTACCCAATGCTTAGCTGGTAGAGAATGCCATATGGCATTAAGCTCGCCAATTGTACACTATTTTAAATAGTGCAATAAAGGATAAATAAATAAATAAATAATAATCATAATAATAATATCTGACTAATGACAATTCACACAGCACAATCTGGTCCCAAGTTAAGCAGAGCTCGTATTATGGGTACAACTGATTTTAATGTATATCTTATTAAAATTATAAACTCGAAGGTTTGTGAGTATGGATGGATGTTTGTTACTCTTTCACGCAAAAACTACTGAATTGATTTTGATGAAAGTTTACAGTAATATAGCGTATACATCAGAATATCGCAATCAGAAACCCCGGGCGCAGTTAGTATAATTTATATACAGCGAATATCGAACGATATAAGCAATCATACTCATGAATTCAAACGTTTGTACTCTACGAGGAATCGAACCCGTTACAGTATCATTAAACCATCGATGCCATTAGAATATAAAAATAAATTACTGTTTGCACTCTTCCATATAAATTTTACGTTCCACTGTGAGTGTGATTTTCATAAAACAGAATACAAAGTTTGTGCTTCTCGAATTAATAGAATGTCAAAAACGTTAAAGTCAAACAAACTAGTGACAGTTCGTAAACAACTGGCCAATGTACAGCGGTATTCCTTATACACAAAGCTGTGTTTATTGAATAAATATATTTACACGACATGTTTGCTATCCAGATACATTCAGTAGACCGTGTTTCACGCCTCAATAGATTGGGACCGTATTGCTGCAAACTCGTATGATATCTCCACTGAGGTTTCGCTGTCTCTATACCGCTCGATTGGAACACAGAGAGTTATTATAACCATAGAGAATTTAGCATAGACAGTTATTATAACCATAGAGAATTTACCGTAGACCGTTATTACAACCATAGAGAATTTAGCATGGACAGTTATTACAACCATAAAGAATTTAGCATAGACAGTTATTATAACCATAGAGAATTTACCATAGACCGTTATTACAACCATTGAGAATTTAGCAAAGACAGTAATTAAACCATAGATAATTTAGCACAGACATAGACAGTAATTACAACCATAGAGAATTTAGCATGGACAGTTATTACAACCATAGAGAATTTAGCATAGACGTTAATTACAACCATTGAGAATTTAGCATGGACAGTTATTACACACATAGAGAATTTAGCATAGACAGTAATTACAACCATAGAATTTAGCACAGACAGTTATTACAACCATAGAGAATTTAGCACAGACAGTAATTACAATGGAATGTTGACTCTGAGAAATATTAATTCTATAGCTCTCTCAACAACTGCCCTATGAACTTGACATATTTTAAATCTCATTATCTTTTATAATGTTTTACTTTTTTATTAATCAGTGTTAAATTTGATAACTCGATTATAATATACTTCGAAAATTATTTTATTTTTATTTTAAGTTTATTTGAATTATATATCCTAAGTATGACTATTACAAACAATCATTATAATCCAATGCGGCACATCGAGGCAGTGTACCCAAGGTACTGGCAGCGTTGCCTCTTTGAATGGCCATACTTAGCCTTTGGGCAAAGTAGCTACCAGCTCTCGGGTCACAAGTAACCTCGATGAGCCGCACTGAAATATATCTGTTAAAAAAAATTTGGCTTCCGGGCTCCATGGGCCCAACGTCTCCACGGCAAATGGTAAAGAAGAATAGAATAGAATAGAAGAATAGAAAATCATTCATTCAAATAAACTTACATTGAAGTACTTTTGAATAGTCATCACATTAATCTACCGCTCATTCGGAATGCTGTCTCATCACAAAAAGAATGAGCAAGAAACTTGCGTGTTGCTCTTTTAAATAATTTTATTCTTACTTTACAATTTAAGTTTAAGTGTGTGAATACAAACTACCGATTTGCACTAATTCAATTAAATAATCATATAGACCTCAGCAACTGGCCCATGATTCTGTTAACGCGTCTCCATATAATTGGCGTAGATGCTAACAGTGTTAATTGAGAGTTATATTCATACATAATTAATGATTGTATAATCACATTCTAGACATAGGTGGTTTAGTGGTTTGCTTACCGTCTTACTTCAGATGTTGCGGGTTTGATTAGGTTAGGGGTTATTTTTTTTATAATATTATGGTACCATACGATGCAAACATTTATTCATAAATAGGATTGAATATGTATTTGAGTATTTCTATCAGTTGTCTAGTACCCATAACACAAGCTCTGCTTCGCCTGGGACTAGACGGCGTTATGTGAATTGTCTTTGTTTTTATGTATTTGTTTGGTTTGTTATCGATATTTCCAACATCGGAAAGTTTACAGAAATTTTACAGTTTTGTAGGTGGCAATAAAAATAAAAATGGTACCTTTCTAAAGGTAAATAGTTACTGTAGCGTATAAATGCCTGAAATATAAACCAAGGTTTCTTTAGGATGGCCTATGCGTACGGCACCGCGGTGTGCCGTGCGCATAGGTCATCATAAAGAAACCCTTTTTTGAGAAACCCCAAACTGTAGACACAATACAACAATTCACACAGTACACTTGGAATATAAATATAAGCGTAATATTTATATTTCAAGTTTATATAAAGTACTTCTAAATTATATAGCGTAAATTCCCTAACTTATTCTGAACTTCAAAAGAGTCGTGTAAAACCAGCACTAAGAAAACATTTCCTAGAAAATATCATGAACATGGTAATATGCTAAAATGCTAATGTGATTCCTCAAAGCTTTGGCAGCGTCGAAACAACAACCAGTTTTGAATACAATAATAGTTAGTGTAACGTTCTTTGTGAAATAGAAATTAAAATAATATTTCTACGTTATTTTATTTTAATTTTCGAATAGAGAATGCAGTAAACTTGGCAAAAAAAAACTTCAAAGTATACAATAATCTTCCAAAGTATTAAAATCACTAGTATCCTGACGACTTAGGCGTAATGCCGATTAGTCAGGGAAGAAACACCTCAATGCCTACAATATTCACAATCACCTATCTCTTATTTATTTTTATAATAATATAAACACTTTCGCTCCAAAACTCCCGCTGCCTACGTTCAATCATCCGTCATCCACTTGTCAATGCCACATAGATTACTTTGGCTCTGGCCTCTGACGTTCCGTTTCAGGTTACATGATTATTGACTTTACCATTTTTAATTAATGGTGCGTCACACGATAGTTAACAAAAGGATATCAGTTATTTTGTTTTAATGACGGTTACCAATTACCATCAAATGTTTACAAATAAATGTTACCATCAAATAATTTAAACCCATCGATTTTTGCCACAGCAATGGCATGTTATCATATTTTTTTGGTAATTAGACACAAATAATACAAAAAAATATATATGAACGGTCTGCTAGTCGGCCGACCGTTAAGAAATGTTGTTAATGAAAGAAGAGAGCTTGTTTTAAATGTAAAATATAATTATTCAAAATCTCTATGTAATTGTCCATCTTTTTCCTTGTCATATCTATATTGTCAATTGTCTCGTCTGTCCTAGTTACGTCTTATAACCGGCCAGCAAACAGTCCTGTCATGGAGGCCGCAACAATATATGCTTTTAGTAGTTATGCTTTTTATGTATAATAAAAATGTCTATTTATTTTGTTACAGGCAACTGCTGGCTCCGAATTTAAAGCAAACACAATATTTAGCAAATGGTGCTGAAAGTGATATTAGGACGGTAAGTTTAATTTTATTTATAATATACACATATATATATAATACCTGACCCGGCAAACGTTGTTTTGTTAAACAAATTAATATTGTTAATAAATAATAGGGGTTGGTGATAGAAGACTGAAAATTCAGGAGTGCATGTATTTTTGAATTTTTTTGTTTTTCGGACTACTCTAATGCTGTTGGCCGTAGCTGGCCTTTACAACTTCACCAGACGTTATGGGGCGAGTGCAGATGGCACTCCAAACCCTCGGAAGGACTTATGGAGCGGCTGAAGGCCAACTCCTGCCTGACGGATACGACTTTAGTCTGAGGGCACCACTAGGGGTTCGAACCTCGGCTCAGGCCGTCGTAATTTCGATCCCCGTTTGAATTGGACGGAGGAGGTCGTCGTCTTCGCCGGCGAGGACGGTGTCGTGTGTGTGTGTAAAAGTGTGGTCGGGGTGGAACGGGTGGGCCCGTGGGGAGGTTACCTGCCGTTATAGGGTCGTCGGGGTATTTTTTAATGCCACATCCTCCCTTATCATATAGGGGTATAATAATAAGTAATAGCCTATTCTCTGACCTACTGAACTGACTATATTTTTTTATCCAAATCGGTTAAACTGTTTAAGAGAAGTACAAGCAACTAACACTATAACAAGAGATTTGTATATATTAGCAGAAATATATATCACAAGCAGTCTCCCGCGATGTTGTTCACAAATGATAATATAGCATATAAAGCAGAGAGTATAATATTAATTAAATTTTGAAATTTAAATTATTATTTTAATATTTTGGTCATTATAATGTTATCTGGATTAGTGTCACCAACTCAACACTAGCTATGCCACGCTGTTAGATTGACTGGTAGCGACCTCTTAAAGAGATTATTTAGAGCACGCTATAAGTTCATTTTGTCTATAATTAACTACTGTCTATACTGTAATAAAATTTATATATTCAAATATCCTATATGTTCATAAAAATCTTGACTTATTTCCAAAAAACAGCAATATTCATAATATTAATACTAGATTTAAAGACAAACTTGCTGTCCCCAAGTATCGTTTAGAAAAAGTCAATAGGTCTTTTATGGGAATTGGTATAAAAATTTACAATAAGATACCAAAGGATATATTGGAATTACCCTTAAATAAATTCAAAACATCTGTTAAATCATATTTACTGAACAAGGCCTATTACTCACTAAACGATTACTTGAATGACGAGCGTGCATGGCAATAGTTTTCATGTTCGGGATTTTCATTTAATGTTAGACATAGACATCTATATAAATACCTATGTATTGTAAATAAACTGGCTTTTAAAAAAGAAGTAATTCAATTTAGTTTCTTGCCAATTCTTCTCAATTAAATCTATATCCCGAACTGGACGGTAGGGCAAAAAAATATAATGTAAAAACTTGACGTTCATAAGCGGCTGAAATGTCCTACATGAATAAATGATTTTTGAATTTGAATTTGAATTGAATTTGTACATACCTATACCAAACTGGACGGTAGGGGAAAAAAAATAAATTATAATATAAAAGATTTGACGTTCATAAGCGGTTAAAATATTCTACATGAATAAATGATTTTTTAATTTGAATTTGATTTTAAAAAAATATATATAAAGCACCAGCTGACCAGACAGATGTTGTACTGTCTTAGTAAACGCGCAAACTGTCAAACAAGCAAAGATAAAGTAGACGTTAAGTCTTCTGGAATTTTCGAACTTTAACAGATAAATCTTCTAATTTTTGTTCTAAAGGAACCTTCTTTAGTCTATTAAAAACGTAAAGAAAGTAGTATAATTGGTTAAATCGTTCTCGAGTTATGTCATAACTAAAGTAATAGCATTTTTTAACCTATACGGGACTAGATTCTTTTAGTTTATGTATTAAAAGGTAAGAAATAAACCTATTTTTCTTTCTATAATAGGATCATAGATAACTGTTTTCTCCTTAGGTACTTACATTGTCAATACAGAACTCAAGGTCAACATAGATTCTTTTAGTTTATCTACTAAAGGGAAATGAATAAACCTATTTTTTAATGTATAACTAGTTTTTCCCGCGACTTCGTCCGCGTGTAATTTAACTTTATTTTTCTAAAATATAAGCATCCTAATTTACTCCTTATTACATAAGCTACTTGCCAAAAACAGTCCCGTCAAAATTGGTCCAGCCGTTTGAGAAATTAGCCGGAAAAACAGCCAGACAGACAAAAATTGTAAAAAATGTTATTTTGGTGTATGTACCGTATTTATGTTCATATGCATGTAGTAAAAAAAGGTTATTTCAGTATTACAAACAGACACTCCAATTTTATTTATATGTATAGATAGGATCTTAGAAGACTGTTTTCTTCTTATATTTGTCTATATTTTTTTACATTTCCTAAGCACCTAATATATACGTTGCTTTGAAAATTATGCAGTCACTTCGTGAGCTCTGTTCACTAAATAATTTAATTAATTACGCCCCAATGTAACAGTACAATAAAATGTTTTATGATTTTAATTTATGACCAACTCGTAAACAGTTGAAATGGTTTTCTAAAGGTTATCCCAAATAGCGAAAACTTTTACTTCAGCAATAGAAATAGAAATAGAAATAATCTTTATTCAAATAAACTCATTACAAGCACTTTTGAATAGTCATATTTTGATTCTACCACTCATTCGGAATGCAGATTCATCACAAGAAGTCCTACATGAATAAACGATTTTTGATTTTTATATGTAATACCAAAGAATTACATTCCTAAGCGGCTAAAATGTCCTACATGAATAAATGATTTTTGATTTTTATATGTAATACAAAAAAATTACATTCCTAAGCGGCTAAAATGTCCTACATGAATAAATGATTTTTGATTTTTATATGTAATACCAAAAAAATTACATTCCTAAGCGCCTAAAATGTCCTACATGAATAAATGATTTTTTATTTTTATATGTAATACCAAAAAAATTACATTCCTAAGCGCCTAAAATGTCCTACATGAATAAATGATTTTTGATTTTTATATGTAATACCAAAAAAATTACATTCCTAAGCGGCTAAAATGTCCTACATGAATAAACGATTTTTGATTTTTATATGTAATACCAAAGAATTACATTACTAAGCGGCTAAAATATCCTACATGAATAAACGATTTTTGATTTTTATATGTAATACCAAAGAATTACATTACTAAGCGGCTAAAATATCCTACATGAATAAACGATTTTTGATTTTTATATGTAATACCAAAGAATTACATTACTAAGCGGCTAAAATATCCTACATGAATAAACGATTTTTGATTTTTATATGTAATACCAAAGAATTACATTACTAAGCGGCTAAAATGTCCTACATGAATAAACGATTTTTGATTTTTATATGTAATACCAAAGAATTACATTACTAAGCGGCTAAAATATCCTACATGAATAAACGATTTTTGATTTTTATATGTAATACCAAAGAATTACATTACTAAGCGGCTAAAATGTCCTACATGAATAAACGATTTTTGATTTTTATATGTAATACCAAAGAATTACATTACTAAGCGGCTAAAATATCCTACATGAATAAACGATTTTTGATTTTTATATGTAATACCAAAGAATTACATTACTAAGCGGCTAAAATGTCCTACATGAATAAACGATTTTTGATTTTTATATGTAATATCAAAAAAATTACATTCCTTAGCAGCTAAAATGTCCTACATGAATAAACGATTTTTGATTTTTATATGTAATATCAAAAAAATTACATTCCTTAGCAGCTAAAATGTCCTACATGAATAAACGATTTTTTATTTTGATTTTGACACTCTTTGCGTCGTCTTTCCTTCATCCCAGAATGAAGGAAAGACGACGCAAAGAGTTATGGTTTTCAGAAACTTTGATTAACAATCTGACCAGGATATTTATGACTAGCAGCCCACCCCGGTTTCGCTCGCTGATAACTTTTTGAGTTTTGTATATTGGATTGTTTGGGCTATTGTCAGATGTGTAGCACCTGTAGCACTGCGACCTACATAGATCTATTGTGCTCGCCCTTTGCAGAGTTCGCTACCTAGACCCATCAGGGACAAGAATTGAAGGATATTCTTAGGAGCGATGGTTTTATCTCCTCGGGAAAGAGTGTAAACTTTCCAAAGGAGATATTTCGTTTATACATGAGTGGGCTACAACCACATAGGATGTGAAGCGGCGTTTCCTCTTCAGTTTGGCAGAATCTGCAGATACTTGTCGTGCATAGGCCTAGTTTAGCCATATGCTTGTTTAATTTGCAGTGTACTGTGAGGGCCCTAGTCATCATGCATATGTTGTTTTTACTCAATAGCAGTAGTCTATTGGAGTATTTGGTCGAGAAGCCCGATATTAGGTCTTTTGAATGTGTTAATCCTGGCATTTCTTGCCAGTGATTCAGTGCTTCTCGTTTGGTTATTAATTTGAGATGTCCCAGTTTTAAGCGACTTAGTGATCTAACACCTTATTGCCTTCGGTCTTGGGTTCGATCCACTCACGGTACAGGCTTTTATATTTACTACTATGATTATTTGTATCTGTCTGGGTCGTTTCAATAAATATTATATATATATATTTACAAAAAAATGTATCTGTTTATTTATATTAGTTGTCTAATACTATGAGTATAGTCATAAAAGTACACAAGCGATGACTGCAAACAGGGATGAATGGAAGCGAAAAACATATTTTTTTTTATATTTCGCCGACCCCAAATAAATGGGATAAGGAAGAAGCAGATGATGATGATGAGTCACAAAAGTACACAAGCTCTGCTTAGCTTGAGACTAGATGGCGTTGTGTGAATAGTCCGGAGTTATTATTTTTATCTTTGTAGAAATTTTAAGTTTTTAGAACAAGAACATTATACTCTGCAATGTCACCTACGTGATTTATATCACAACTTTTAATGGCCAGTAGGTAGAGTGCAGTCAGTGCAGTTGCACTTTCAAGATTAACTACCGCAAGAATGAACTGTTTCCT